TGGGGGGTGACAGAGGAGGGTCGGATGTGGGTGTCTGTGAAGAGGGATACTTGGGGGGTGACAGAGGAGGGTCAGATGTGGGTGTTTGTATGAAGAGGAGTGTGAAAGTGTGGATGTACATCAGTGAAAGGGAATTATAAGGGCTCTGCACACTCCCTGGTTGTTTTGACTTTGAGGGTTTTTGTTGGGATTTAGCTCAGAAAAGCCGATAATTATATCCTGTTTGCTCCTTGTTTCAGGTTACAGGACGAGATTAATCTACGGCTCGAAGCTGAAAACAATTTGTCTTCCTACAGACAGGTGAGGCGTGCTCTGCTTGCGGCCAGCCAGGCCCTGTCCTGGAAGCTGGGGGCCCTCAGCTCCTTGTTGGATCAGGCCCCTCAACCTGGAAAGCAGAGCACTAAACCCAGAGCCAGGCCGCTGTGGTAGTGGAACAGGGAGAGGGGGGGACTCGAGTAGTCGGGCAGCCCAGTGTCGGGGAGAGATGAGGCAGGACCAAGGGGCACCAGTGCTCGCGGCCCCTGCAGGGGCAGGGAAAGGATTACGTGAGAGACACCCAGCTAATCCGGGCCAGTGACCGGCCCCCCACACTGCAGGGGAAGGAGAAACACCCCATGGCCCTAGCAATCTGACCTGGGAGGAACTTCCTGCCCAGGGGGCCCAAACATTTCAATGCTGTGAGCAAGATGCCTGTTTTGGGGCCGGGGCACCCCTGCAGGCCACGTCCAGAGCCATCATTCCAGAGTCTCGCCTCAGCCCCTGCGCTGGGGTTAGGAGATGATAGAACTGAGTGAAAGACCAGAGTAGCTCAGCTCTCACATGAACTGCAGAGCTGAGCCAGGCAGGTGTGCCCGACATCTGTCAGGTGGGCCGCATGCCCTGCCCTGCCCTCCTGGCTCGGGGAGGAGACCCTGGCAGTGGCCTCACTGCAGTCAGTGCACTGCCTGTGCAGCGGGGAGTCGCCCTCCCCGCCCCACCCTGGGGAAGGGGGTGCCAGCTGCACTGACCATAGAGGGGCACCCAATCCCCTCCCGGTGGGACACCCCCTGCAAGGCCCAGCCAGTGCCACCTCAGAGCCCCGGCCTGTGTCCCATCTCCAACTGTGGCCACTCCTGATGCTGCAGAGGAAAGTGGGGAACAGAATACACTGAAGCGGGGGGGAGGAATCCCTTCCTGACCCTGCAGGTGAGCAGCTGAAGCTCTGAAGCGTGGGATTTTAGGAACATTCAACAGACCGGAAGGGATCCCCAGACTTGCCGAGCCCTGCCCCCCACCATCACAAGCCATCCTGTCACACAGTGTACCCATGAATGTGTCCAGCTCTCTTAAACCTAACTCACTCCTATTGGGAGGTTGTTCCAGAACCTCTAATCGTTAGAAACCTGCTTCTAATTTCCAGCCTGAATTTGTTCATGGCCAGTTTATCCCCATTTGTTCTTGTGCCAACGTTGTCCTTCGGCGTCAATAGCTCTTTGCCCTCCCTGGTGTTCACCCCTTATGTATTTATAGAAAACAACCAGAGCCCCCGCTCCATCCCACCCCCTGCAGCCTTTGTTTTGCCAGACCAAACAAGCCAAGGTTTTCCACTCTCCTCCCATAAGGTCGGCTCTCCGTACCCCTGACCATCCTAGCAGCCCTTCTTTGCACCTGTCCCAGTTTGAATTCACCTTTCTTGAGCATGGGAGACCAGACTTGCCCACAGCGTTCCAGACGAGGTCTCACTGGTGCCTTGTACCATGGCATTAACCCTGCTCTATCTCTCCTGGAAATACCTCGCCTGACACAGCCTAGCATCTCATTTGCCTTTTCCCCGGCCACGTCACATTGGTGGTCATCCTGTGATCGACCCACACACCCAGGTCTCTCTCCTCAGTTACTTCCAACTGATTAGCCTCTAGTTTATAGCAGTTCTTATGAGACCCTGTAGCCTGATTTAGGATGTACTGATAATATTAATTTGGATAATATGGGAATTTAATGTATTAATTTTATTTTATTTAATATTATTAATATTAATTAGTATGGGTTGAGGCTTGCCAATCTGTTTGATCAGAAGATAGAAGTTCTTGTCCTGAAGCAGGCTCCACAGAATTTATAAAGGGACCCGCGTGGGTATGACAGGAAGCTCACACTGGGACAGATATAGTCGTAAAGACTTTTTATTAAAATCAATAATAGTAAGTGAATGGTAAATACCCAGAGTTACAAAGTGACAATGGCATTACTGCTATTCAAAAGATACATCTGATAATATACTATTACATGTAACAAAGCTTTGGTTAACACACTCACACCCTTCCTCGCTAACCTGGTGGTAAGAGACACAGGACCAGCCTTGCGGTTCAGGTTTCTCAAGTCTTGAGTGAGGGATGCAGTGCTTAGAAAATGCTAAGCGCTATCAAAGCTAACTAGGGTTTACTTGACTAACTTAAACTTAAATCAAAACCTAATAAACAAACTAAGAATAAAACGTAGGGAAACCCAGCTTAGCCTAGTTCCCTTGAAACTTAAAGTTTAAGAAGGACAAGTATAGCCTACGAATAGTAGCCGTCATTGTAGATAGAGTGGAGGAAGTAAATGAGAATAGAGTAAAGTGAGAACGGAGATAGTGAGAAATGGAGATGGAGTAAAGTAAGAATGGAGATAATGGAGAACGGAGATACTCTATTGAGAGGCGTTACCTCTTTTATAGGGCAAATGCCGGACCTCCTTCTCTTATGCCCAAATTTTATTCCTCACCCACAGAAATGTTAGGGTACCCTTACCCCATAGGCTAGTATGTATGTGTGTATTGATGACAGGTATGTACGCACATCGGTCTCTTGTGGTGTACTTGTTAAGTCTGTGGGAAAAAACCCTGTTTCCACCCTTTAAGGCTATTGGTCCAGGTAGAGGTCTCTAGACATCTGCATGGGTGTTTTGTCTAATTTTACTTTTCTGGGTGAGGGTCTCAAAAGGTGTTAACTTCGCATTAGCTTAACATACAAGGTTTTGGCCTGTAGGTAGATCTTGCATTACAGCCAAACTTACTTTTAATATAAATCTATAAGCCTAATATATCAAATACTTAAACTATAAGAAAAGATATATATATATACAAGCAAGCAGGTTAGTCTTATAGGCTACAACCCTAAGTGCATGAACTTGCCCTTTGCATTATTGAATTACATCCCTATATCCCTATCACCCAGCCCTACTGTTCTAAAAGGATATCAACTAGAAGGGGGGAGAGTGAAGCCAGTAATAGGCAGTGGACGGTAGGCCCCTGTTTTGGGGGTGGGGAGAGAACAAGTGGTGTCTCCCCTGAGTAGCCAGGGAGACCCATGTGTCTGTGGGCATGACAAGTCGACTTTTCAGTCTGCAATTCTCACACACATATTGGCAGTGGAACAGAGGGGACTTAAAAGGGCAAAAGACAGACTGAAAACCGTGATTTGATGGTCTCTCAAACCTAATGATTTCTGGGGGACCGGAGTCATGATTTTTGATCTCTCGAGGTTGGCAGTACTGGATGTGAACTTTCTCAGTGGGCCTATAGGGCACAGTCCCCACACCCCCCAAATCCCCACCACGCTGACATGACCCCACTAACCCCTATTCCCCCTCACACAAACACAACCCCCACATGCCTAGTCCCCCCACACAGACATATCCCCAGACACCCCCCCCAACTCCCCCACACACAGACACAGTGTCTCACCTTCACCCCAATCCCCACACACAGACATGGCCCCCCACACTCCTGGTCCCCGCACACGTGGGATAACCTGGCCATGAGGGAGCTTCTAACCGCGAGGTTCTGAAACAGCCTCCCAATAGCTGTAGGGGGCAAACAATGGAATGGGTTTGAGGGGAGCTGGACACATGGGGGGTGTGGCTGGGTGACAGGGCTGCTTGTGATGGTGGGGGCAGGGCTCAGCAGCTCTGGGGTCCCTTCCAATTTTGTTTTTATAACTCAGGAGTCAGGGTTTCGGCCGGTCACCTGCAGCGGTCAGGAAGGGCTTTGGTTTCCCCAGTGTAGTCTGGGTTGTTGTTTTTTGCCTCCCTCCTCTGAAGCCTCAGGATGGCGTGGCTGGGCTGGGACACTGGCTGGGGAGCGCCAGGGCTCTGGGGTGGCACTGGGCATTTTCTCTCTCTCTCA